TGTTAAGGATACGATGAATCCTCTGTTTAATACCTTAATATTCACTTTCTGTAATTGGATTGCTCTAGAGTCTTCTACTAGTGTGTATATAAACTGTGTAATCTCTGACAATAAGGAATATCCAAGATATTACATTTACAATTTGTGCTTTGTTTTGGTTTAAGGGTTTAAGGAAGGGAAGAAGGCATGTTGTGGGACTGGACCATTAAGGGGAATTAATACGTGTGAAGGTCGAGTTTTGGGACCAGCACAAAGTTACTACGAGTTGTGTCAAAATGTTACGGATTACTTGTTCTTTGATTCGTTTCATTTGACGGAGAAGGCTCATCGACAGATCGCAAAGCTTATTTGGAGTAGACCGTCTAATGTTACTAGACCTTATAATCTCAAAACATTGTTTGCATTGAAGTAGAATTTGTCGACGTGTAGGTATAAAATTAAAAGACGAGGTTACTATACTATTTTGTCTAGTTCTATAGACCTACGCCTATAATTTTTCCAGGTCAGGGACTAGAGCAAATCAGTCCATTCCCCTTTGCTAGTGCTTAAACTCGAGATTTTCTCAACTTTTCACGTTTGGAGACTAGGTGGTTCGCTGATTGAACTACTGACACCGAGTGTATAATCAACTTACGAATCCGATCGATAAGTCTAAGAAGGGTCTAGACGCCTATTGTTTTGTTTAAATTTATCAGTCTTTTATGCATGCATCTATGTTAATAAGCTTACATTCTTCTAGTTTTATGCCAAAATTTTTTTGTCGATATATATTTCAAGCCATTCATAACATTTTAAACAAAGAAGAGTCTTTGATAAAAACAAAAACAAACAAGGAGAGTCATTTAGCAAATGCAACCACTTTGCATAATGACAAGGTTTGACTCCGGTTTGATGTTGTAATCTGCTATGGTGCGACTATTTTCGAGAGCTTCGTGCCATGAAAGTTTAGATCCAGCTTGTCCACTCAGTCGCTTCTGGTGAAGCCTCGAAGTCGCCCTCTCCAAACTGTCCAGATTTTCCTTTGTCCTTTGCTTGCTTCTCTTTCACTTGTTCTCGGTTCTGGATCTGATGCACAGCAGTAACGATGATATATCAATCACTACAGATCTCCTCTGGGCCACCATCGCTGTCCGTTTGTGCCATTGTTGCCCTCGCCGGTACCACCGTAGCCTTCATCATGTCGAACCGTGACGTCTCCGCTTCATCGTCAACTCTCTGTCTCGTCA